AATGCGTGTGCCAGCAAGCGTACGTAGCAACACACAGTTATGAGCGTAAATGAAACAAAAAAAATATTTAATAATGTTTAAAAAAAGTTATGGAATAAAGAAAAATAAAAAATTAAATTGTATGTAAAATAGCAAAAAATATTTAAAAAATAAGATGTTAAAAAATAAAATAAAAAAAATAAAGAAAAATCACACAAAAAAGAAAAAAATAAAATAAAAATAAAATAAATTTAAAAAAAATAATAAAATATAAAAATAAACACAAATAAAATGGAAAACTAAAAATATAAATAAAAAATTAAATTAAACAGAATAAAAAATATGCAAAAGAATAAAAAACCAAATGAAATAAAATAAAATTAAAGAGAGTAAAATTTAATAAAGCAGAATAAACCCAAATAGAAATTAAAAAATAAATTAATGAAACAATATAATAAAATTACATTATTTAAATGAAAAAAATTAAAAGAAAGCAAAATGTAATAAAACAAAATTAAATAAAAGTACATTCAAATAATATGAAATGAAACAAAATAACAGAATTTCAAAATTAATATAAATAAATAAAATTAAAATGAACAAAATAAAATAAAATAAAAAACATAAAGTATTAAAATAAAATAAAGCGAAATAAAAAAATGGAAATTAATTAAACTACATTTAATTTAATTAAAGAAAAATAAATAAAATAAAATTACATTTAAAAAAAATATTTTTTCATTACTTAGATAAAATTAAACTTATTAAAATAATGAAACAAAATAAACCAATACCCGGTATAAATTTACATTATTATTTAAGATGAAATCAAATTAAATTAAATCAAATTAAATAAAATTAATTAAGCTTAAATAAATGATAAACAAATATTAAATACACAATAAAATCCAAATTCATACAAAAATTTTAATAAAATACAAAACATTAAATTAAATTAATTAAGGAAAAATAAAACAAAAAGATAAAAGCAAAAATAAGTTATTAACAAATGAAAAAAATAAAATAGACATGAAACAAACTACCACAAAGTAAGACTAAAAATATGTAATTGAAAAGGTAAGATTAAATTAAATAAAGTAGGTTTAATTAAATTTTGAATCAATTTAAGTCAATTATATAATTAAGTAAAATTTTAAGGAGTTTTCTTCGTTATCAACAAGAAAGTGTTTGAAATCGCATAAAAATATTTTAGTAAGATATTTCAGTTCTTACTGGCCCACTGCAACTGTCTACTTTTTTGTTCAAATCTTAATCGGTATCTATATATATGTGAGCCTCTCTATAATTCTATGCATACGCATGCCCAAAGCTATCAATAATTTACGAATTCTGCTAACCAAACAACCAGTTGACCATCAGCAATGCCAAAACGCATATAAAATGCGCGCTAAAAATGGGCAAGCGCATGAGAAAGAAGAAAAAAAATACAAAAGTAAAATAAATAAATAAAAATAAAACTATAGTGCAAAAATGGCAAAACCAAATAAAAAATTCAAATTTAATGACAATAAAATATATATTTATGCATATATAATGCAATGGCTGTTTGTTAATCGTAAATTCTAAAAACGCACACGCCTCCGCTTAGCTTGCTGTGCGCGACTTAATGAAATGCCGCGTTAAATGCATAGCAACAAAATCGATGTGCATACGTACATACATACACATATATTTACACATGAAATGGCACATATATGAATATGATAAATGTCAATAGCAATGAAAATAACCACAAAACAACAACAAAAGCACTCGCAAACATCTGGTATTAAACATAGTTAAGTTATTGGTGTGTCGCGCATGCGCTAAGCGTTGTCATTGTCATTGGCAATGTAATAATGGCAATAACAATAACAACAACTACTACTACTATTACTACAACAAAAATGGCAAGTAAATCATTATTTACCACGCATAGCGTCATCATAGCCGGCTAAAATATATACATACATACCCATTTATGCACATACATACATATATGTATATTTGTTTGTATGTCACCTACAACAAGTTGCTCGCCAACCAGCAACTCAAAGCTGCCGCAAAAACCAGTCTTCAATATTTGCAAACACATACAAACACCAAGAGATATATGTATGTAAATAAACACATGCACTCATACATATGTACATACATATATACTTGCATGCCAACTACGTAATGAACGCATGCGCCAACGTCACTTGTTGTCATTTGTGCTGTTGTTGTTATTATTGCTGCTGTTACATAGCAGCCACATTACATGCGCCGTCAATTTCAAGAACCAGGTCAAGGTTGCGCTGCACGCTATGCCTACGTTAACTGCGCTGCCACATTTCGCCGCACAAGCTGCGCCTGCGTTTGAGCCAAGCTCTAGTTTTGTTTGTCTGCTAACTCTTTATCGGCTGCCAACCAGGTTGGCTCACTCTTGTCTGTTTCCTGAGCGCTGATATCTGTTGGCCAACATGTTGTTGCGAACTGGTCTCTTGTCTGCAGCCTGTTAACGGTTGCAACTGATAGTTTACAGCTACCAAACCAACTAGTTGGCCAACTATCTTGCGCGCTCACACACACATTCACTCAACTCAACGCAACTCAATTGGAATCAGTCGTCGAATTGAGCTCAACCAACGGTGTCTTTGTCGCGCTCTTCTGTTCAGCGGCTCTATCGATCATTCGCTCTTAGCGTCAGTTGCCGTTGCAGTGTCAGTTTCACTTCTTTCTTTAAGTTTTTTCTTCTTCTTCTTCTTGTTTTCTCTTAATGGTTTTTGCAACCGGTCGCTTTGTTTTGTTTACTGCAATTTTTTAGTTGCATTTGTTATACGCTTTTTGTTGCTTTTATTTAGCATGCATTTTTGAAGGGCAATGTTGCACAACAGCTGACCTTCAATTGAGAACAAGTTTTGTCACTCACTATGTACACAACGGCGCGCATAAAAATATAGACTTTTATAAATTTACACTTTTTAATATATTTTTAGTTAATTCTTAAGTTGGCAGTGTGCGTTTGTATGTGCCTCATTCAAGGATGCGCCTCGCTCTTGTACTTTGGCGTGCGAATAAATAAATTGCTTTTGATTGTGATCTTTTAATATAATAAAGTGATCTTTTTAATCGTGCAATTAAAAATTAAATCGGTGATGGTGTTTTTTCAGCGAAACTAGTATTCAGAATATACATATATGTACATATTCTACAAGGATCATCGGCAGTTTTACAACAAAACAAAATGAAATATTTTATTGAATAAAACCAAAACTTAAATAATACAAAAGAAGAAAAAAAATCAAATAAAATGATATAAATCAAATTAAATTATATACAATAAAATAAAGTAAGTAAAAATAAAAATTTTATTTAATTAAACGAAATTAAATCAAATTACATAAAATAGAATAAAAAATAAAATTAAATGAGAAATAAGTTAAATTAGACTTAAAAGAAAAATAATAAAATACTATAAATTAAAATTAAAAATTCCAAAATTAAATAAAATAATTAAAATAAAATATTAAGTAAAAGGATATAAAAAAAATAATATAATATAAATAAAACAAAATTAAACTAAACATAACAATAAAAAAGTAATAAAAAATAAATAAAATTTAATCAAATCAAATTAAAAAATATGCACTAAACAACAAAATTAAAATAAAAAAAAACAAAAAAAAAATTAAATAAAATCAAATAAAACTTAGTAAAACAATATACAATAATATAAATTAAAGAATAAAAAACCTCGCAAACACTATAATTTTCAACAAAAGTTTTTAAATGTACATAAATATGGAAACAAATTATTTGAAAACGTAAGAAAATTGAGAAATGAATGAATTAAGAAAAAATAATTGATATTAAAATTTTTCAAAAAACATTGAAACAAGAAACTATTATTTAAAAATTTTCCAAAAATCAAGAAAAGTTTAAAAAGGAAAAATTGTTATTATTGAAATAAAATAAATGTATAATAGAAACAAAATAGTAATTATAAGCAAAAAATATGAAAGCAATTAATACGCACTTTAATGTATTAAGAAAAAAAATGGAAAAAATAGTCTATATATTACTAACTATTATTATAAAAATTAAAAAAAAAAAAATTATTTAATAACGCAAAAAAATTAAAAAGTGCGAAAATTAAAAGTAAGAAAGAAAATAGGTAAAGGAAATTACTTAAATAGTTTAAAAAATTAAAATTTAATATAATTCAACGAAGATAATAATATAAAATCTATTAAATATTAAAATTAAAGTACATCTCGCCTCCGTAACACATTGATCAGTTTACCCTTTAAGTTAAGCAATTATTATTAAAAAATTTTAATAAAGCACGTACAAAATGAAATAAAAGTTCAAACCTTTATTTATTTGTTTAGTACTTTTTTATCCTTACACCAAATGTGCTTTGGAAATCTTTAAAACCCCCTTCTCTCGAGCCCCCATAAGCCCCATCTACTTTATTATAATTGCATTAAATAATTATGCAATTAATCATCATTCACACATTTCACAAAAAAATATTATTAAAAACAATAAATTTTCAGAGCAAAAAAGCACGCATTTTTCGCGACTGCTGACCATCTGTCATATGCAGTTCTCTACTGCAACTCACTTTAACCGTCCATAAATTATATCTGCACCAGCTGTACGTGATACTTGTAGTCACTGTGGTTTATGCATACGCACATTACTTTAAATAAGTGATTTTATTATTTATCATCATTTTCTGTGTTATTTATTACATTGGTTGCTACGCGATAACTTTTCAATCTTAAAAGAGGAGCGAATAAAAAGGACATAAAATTTAATTACTTTAATTTTTTTTAATAAAATGTCATTGAGTCCAACCGCACAGTATCTGAAACAGAAAAAAGTATTAAACTGCAACAGTGTCCCACAACTTTTTTTGTATAGTGTAGAGATAAATAAGCTCTTTTTGAAAATCTTATATAATATTAAATAAATATTAATTTATAAATATGTAATCAAATTAATATTTTTCTTTTTCCATTTAATTTCAGGTTGCCAAACAATGAAAATAGACTTGGTAAGTAACATTGCGGACTTCTTACAAAATTTAAAATAAGGAAAAAGGTGCGAACTCCATTTTTCTCTCAAAGAGGCGTGCTTTAGTTTCAATGGGCCTTACATCACGGCATAACTTACAGAGAGTTTTTTAATTTTTCTTGGAGGAGTAGGTTTCATTGGTTCAAAAATGACTTCTATCAATAGCTTTTTCTATAATAATTTGCAAAATTGCTTTATAGCGCTTTCTACTGCATAGCCTTCTACTGCAAGTATTTTATTTAATTTTCGATTTTAAAAAATTTGCTCGAATTAATTAAATTATTTGCTGTCTACGAGTAATTCATAGTGCTTCTGGGAATCCAGCTACTTTTATTTGTACATTATATGATCTCATGGTTATTGGCTTTCTCTTACACCATCTTGTAATTTTTTTCTAAATCTCTGAATGCACTAACTCCCATATTTACCTATTTACCGTGAAACTGAAGCACCATAGCCTTTTTGCGTACTACTTAATATGTACATTTCTCAAATTTTTTCCACTATTCTTAAAAAGTTTTAGCACAAAAATGGTAAACTAAATCGTAAAAATATATTCAATATTTTTTTTTATGGAACTAAAAAGGAATTTTTCGCCAAAAAGACAACAAAAACTTAGCTAAATGTCAAGCTTCTGCAGCCAAGTGCAACTTATTTAAGGACATGCAAACGATTTTAAGTAAAAAACAACCACACACATACATACATACATACATAAACAAAACTTTGCAAGTGAATTCTAAAGCTCATGACCATAAAAAATGTATAGCAAAAATTTGAAAAATTTAAAAATAACATCATATTAGTTAAGAGAAAAATTAAAAAAGCAAAAATAAAAACCCAAAAATTTAGACAAAAAAAAAATATATGACAATTAAAAAATTAGAACCATAACATAATTATAAATATTAAACAGAAAACTAAGAAACAAATAAAAACAAACGACAATTTTTTGCACCAACACAAATTCCTCTCAACATTTTATAAGAATTTTCAACGCACGCGCTTGACCGTCAGCAACACTTTGTTTTTGCTGTTGTTTGTCCGTCATTCAAACAGATTTCAAAGTCAACACAGTGGTTCCAAGCACAAAACAAAAAACCAAAAACAATAGAAAAAAATTTATCCAACCATGAAATGCAACACGCTGCTAATGGCATACCGTCGACGCCACCGCCTTACCACCACCATCACCATAAATGGCAACATCAAGTGCAACCACATTTTCCTACAATGTCATTTAGGCGATCCGTTGCGATGCCATGCCTTATGCGCTGTCTGTGCTTGTGGTTTTCCAAATCAAAACAACAGCCGTCGGTTAGCGGCGTCAGTCGAGCGTGTTAGTCACATTCAGCCGCCAACAGAGTTGCATCTGTCACAATGACAGAAAAATGTTGGTTTGTGTTTGAAAAAATGGAAATAATAACAAATTTAGCGTGTAAATTGATTGTTTGGCAGCAATGCAATCACATATACATATATCGTATATCTAGATACCCTTAAAAGTATAAAAAAATGTTAATCGCCTGTCCCTGCTTTTATATTCTAGACGCCACTTCTCTCTTTGTATGCAAATATGTTTTAAATGCTTTTTCAATTCATCCATCATTTTTTAATGCTTATTTAAAAATAAAAAAAATATTACTACTCGCCACCAACTGCAGTTTGCACGCACTGAACAATGGTTAAACAACATGAAACTTTATTTCCATATTTTATCATTTTTATATCTTTTATTCCTCTTGCGCACGTCCAGCCTTCACGCTGACTTTGCTGTGATAAGGCAAGCAGTCTCGAGGTTGAGCTACCACTTCTTGTGGTCTTTGTCAAATACGCGCTTTGGTTGAATAGCGTGTTCAAGGTTTCTGTGGTCACAGGGCGTATGAGTAACTTTTTTTTGTTAATGGTCATAGAAAACTTGCTTAAATTGAAATTGTAACAAAGTTTATTGAACTGAATAAATTGGAATAGAACTAAACAAAATATCAAAATGAAATAATATAAAACGAAAATGATAAAATTAAAATAAACTAAATAAAAAAAAATTTGAATAAAATAAAAAAATTAATTAAATAAAAAAATTAAAATAAATTAAATTATTACCAAACAAAATAAAACAAATTTAATTAAACTATACTAAAAAAAACCAATAAAAATTTAATTAAAATATACTAAAAAAATAAATTAATTAAAATAAAGCAGAACAAAATGCTATAACAGAAAATAAAATAAATTCAAGTAAATAAATAAAATTAAAAAATCAAATAAAATATAATAAAATAAAATGTAAAAGTTAATTTAATGTAGAAATAAAAACTTAAATTAAATTAATTTTAGTAAAATTTGACATGTTTTCCCATATCTTCTAATATTACTAAAAATTAATACTGTACTATTGGCTTACAAATCTTGAAACTTCGTTGAAAAGTTTTTTATTCCTTGAATCTTGAATTCCTTAAGAAATTGCATGGCAAAAAAATGAGGAGAGTTTAGTGCTGGGATTGTCGAAAGGTGAGAAAACAATACTCATCGAAATAGCGTGTTGTGTAAATGCCCTCGTAAAAAATTAAAAAAAAAATCGATAACGAATTTCATCAACGTCAAAAGCCAAAAAAAAAATATTTACTTTTGATTTAGAAAAACCTAACATTCGAGACTTTTTGGATAAAAGATTTTAATATATATGATTTGAAAATACATTTGTACTTAAGGAAATTCTTCAAAAACCAAATCCATTCTTGTTTCGCTAATGTTTTGTAAAACACCCTCATTTCTAAATTCATGCCTTTGTTCACAATTACTCTTGAATTTGCCTCAAACATATCTACAATATTTTTTTCTTAAATATACCGAAATAAAACTGTGCTTTGCGGTTGTCCTACTGACAAAAGGTTAACAAATATTAAATATTATGTTGCATCATAAACGCAATCAGCTATCGAGTTATTCATATCATTCTAAGCTCATATAAAGTTTAAATAAATATATATTTTTTAACCTTTCTGTGCACTTGATCTACAAAAACCACTCGTAGTCCTCGCCAAACGTTACATAAACCACAAATCAGTTAGAATATGATCAACACCACTTTTTAACCGGTGTATGAGCGAGTGATAGAAGGCTGAGAAATCTGCTTAGGTAAAATCTCGCTACTTTGGCCTTCAAATAATGAAAATGTATTTGAAATGTTGAATGTGAAGGCATTGCTTAGAATTTATTAATTTTTCTTCATTACACTCTCCAACACATGCTTATTTTACATACTCATAGCAGCCGAACAATTATTTAATCTTTTTTTGCTTCTCCTCCTCATACGAATCGAAGCTGAAAAGTAAACTTTACTCAACGTGAAGGTGATGGCTATGAACAATGCATTTATTAATTGCAATAGGCATAGCAAATTAATATGAGCTCAAAGTAGATGCACACACCATATATTTACATATACATACATATATACACATTCAAAACGTGCAATGTTTATTAGAAATTCAATTCAATAAAAACATTCTATTCCACCAACAGTAGCATTCACTTCGGTACAAATGCGTAAATGCCAATATCAAATTGCATCTGCAAAATGTACAATAATACTCGACAGACGGTCGACGGGGCGTATGATTAACGTAGCAACAGAGCCAGCGACTGTTTGAGCGTTGTTAATGCCAAGTGATTAATGCAAACAAGTAGCGATAGTAAGATTAGAAGTAATGATAAACAAAATAAATGAAAGAAGTAGAATAAAAAAGTAGAATAAAATAAAACAAAGTAATATAAAATAAAAAAAAAATAATTAATTAAATTAAGTAAAAATAAAAAATTTAAAAAAATTAATAAAATAAAATAGAATAAAAAAATAATACAAAATTAAGTAAAAATAATAAAAAATAAAAAAATAATTATAATAAAGTAATATAAATATAATCGGCAGCAGCGGTAGCCGAGTGGTTAGCATTGCTTACTGCCATTCGGAAGGCTCGGGTTCAAATCATGCCGCGACCAACATCCTAAAGTTATAAAAAATTTATTTACAATAAAAAATTAAGTTAATTTTTCTAATTGCGGTCGATCCTCGGCAAGGAAAGTTAACCGTTCAGAGGCGGTTTGGTATAAATTGTCGGTCCCTCCATTTTTTGGAAAAAAGAGTAAAAGAAGGAGGTCGGCCGAAAATCGCTTCAGCTGTAACAAAGTATATTAACAATAATATTAATTTTATTATTAGAATCAAAAAAAGTCATATTAAAGAAAAAAATAAATTAAATTAAATAAAAATAAATAAATGAAATTTAATTAAGTTAAATTATAACATTAATATAAAATAAAATAAAATAACCTTAAATTGGAAAAATATAGTTATATTTATTTTAATTTTAATAAAATATACATTTTAAATAAAGTAACATATACTTAAATAAAATATACTAAAAACAAATAAAAAAGTTAGAAATGAAGTTAATGAACAGAATTAAATTAAATTAAGTTAACTTAAATTAAGTTCAATTTTCTTCTTTTCTTTTGAATAAAATAAAAAAAATTAAAATAAATTTAAATAGATATAAATAAAATTATGTATGGATACAAAATGAGGTAAACAATGGTCAATTATATTAAAATTATTTAAAATTACATTAAATAAAATAAGTAAGTAAAATAAAAAATTAAATAAAATAAATTCAATTAAATCAATTATAAAGAAAATATTTAAAATTACATAAAATTAAATAAATGAATAATATTAAAAAAAGACAAAATGACATAAAATAAATTAAATTTAAACAAATAAATAATATTAATAGAGATTATTTTAATTAATATAGAATTTAATATTATGTAGTATAAAGAAAAATAATAAAATAATATAAAATATAATTAATTAGGCTAACCTAATATATGTCATATAATAAAAAGAACACTGGAAGCTTACGACAACCAAACGCCGACAGCTATAACATTGAACATACCTATGGATGCTTGTTTATT